TCGCTTCCCGAAGACTTATCCAAATGATGGCTCCGTTTGAATACTCTGTCTTCAGTTATTATCGCTTCAATTACAATGATTTACATTCATTAAAGTTGTTATATTTGTGTGGAATTCAGTTTCCAAACAATTTTTTCATGAAATGTTATCCAAATAGTAATTTATGTGACGATAAGAGTGTCAATAAAAAAGAGTTTAAAGAGTTTTGCCAATGGATTGCGAGTCAATCATCAAATCCTTATAGTTTACAAGAGATTATCCGAATTAGTCTAAGAAATAAGTTCAGCACTAATTTGCCAACAATTATCTCACATTTGAATTTACCAAAACATTTCACCACTTATTTACTCTTTGAATGAATAAAAAATACATATAATATAAATATTTTAATATTGTATTTTGCAAATTATAATTATTACTTATCCTGGAAATATTTATTTAAATAATAAAATACAATTTATAAATAAATTTTTATTAAATAATTTGTTAATTAGGGTAATAGTAATTTGCATTTTGATTGTCTTCATCAGTATATGATTCCCGTATTTCCTTTAAATACTCCAATTCTTGCATTTCCACAAAATAATGAATCCTTTTATACAAAATAAATGTAAAAATTATAATTAAAATAAACCAAAAACTAATGTTAAGAATACAGACCACTGTTCGTATTGATCGCAACACTCCAGCGATCGAAAGCAACACATTTTTGAAGCGACGGGAATACGAGTGCAAAGTTTCTGTGAACACATTTTTGGTGATCTTAAAGACAGACAAAATGATATCAAAAATAAATGAACACCAATTTTAAAAATCATGTCAATTGTTAAACAGTTAAAACATTGCAATCGAAGCGAGAAATAGTAATGCAAGTTGAAAATTTATTGTGAATTAAACAGAAATGCGGGTCCAATACATCAAAATGAGGTTAAATAATGCGTTGATTTAAAAAACAAATTCAAAGTGTAAGCGATTGGTATAAATAAATAAAAAGCGATTAATTAAAAATACAAATTACACAAAAGTGATCATAATTCTTTCAACTCCAACTTCTCTTTCTTCTGGCGCTCGTATTTCTTTGCCCATTGATCTAATTGTATGAATAGTGGCGGCAGGTTATTGATAATGGTGCACACATTGGCCATTTCCATTTCACTGATCGGCTTTCCCTTTAACATTGAGTCTATAAATTGCATAAATGAGTTGAAATCGCGATCGAGTCGTTTCCGTCCCTCCAGATTGAGAGGACTGTCATCTCTTGTGAACAATTGGTTTAAGTCGTTATAATCGGAAGGACTCATAAATAGCCGAAACTTTTCCAACAAATTTGGCAAACTTTCGAAGAAATTATCCTCTTTCTCATTGACCGGCTTTTTGTTTCTGATATTTAAGTAAAATTAATATTTTTAATCACAATTTAATATTCAAATAATATCTTACATCTCTTCTGGAATAACTTTCTTCTCGGCTTCAGTCTCCTTGTGGTCGTCAATGGCTTTAAGAGTGTCCATCATTTCCTTCATATTAATGTCAGAGAACTGTTGAATTT